TGACTAGTAATAGCATCATAAGATCTTTTATTATTACTAGTCTCTTGTCTAGTCTTATTAGGAAACACATGTTCAAAGAATGATGAGAATCACTCCCATCCCACCGGCAAGGGCTCAATTATGTAGAGCATCAACGTCGAAGCCACCATTGCTCATCTTAATGTCGCACAGGACCACATAGTGTCCGTCAATCGTCCATCGTCGCACATCATCGCATGGCCACCGCCGCTCACCATTGCCTCGACGACCACCACCGCCATTGATGTCACCATCGCAAACCAGCAACCATTCTCTTCTTATCTCACATTACGATCCACCATTGGAGCACTACCCCCAAGTATGTCCTTCATAATTCTCTCTCTCTCTCTCTCTCTGTATCTTTGCATCTCTATCTCTATTCCCCCAATTTCGGCCTCTAGGGTTTTTTTCGCATACCTTCAAGCAAACCCACCCCCAAATCGACCCACCCACTTTCACACCTTCTGCACTTTCTGCTTCAGCAATCTGATTGTGGATGTCTCTTCTCTTCTTACTAGTGATTATTAGTTGTCGATGGTGCAAATTCCAATCTCTGACTCAATATTTTCTCGCCATTATATCTCTATTTTGAACGACACCTCATGATCTGGATCCCCTATTGGATTGCCTCCAATCATACATGATTTTCTCGAGTCTCCCATTCTCAATGTTAGGTAATTAAAGTAATGTTGTGCTTGATTTCATTTGTATTTTGCCGTTATAAATTCGATTCTAGTTAGCTTTTTTGTTTCATTCTTTGCTAATTAGAAGTGTTATGATCTAATTAGACAAAAGATAAATTTCTATTCTAGTTAGCATTTTTTGTTTAATTCTTTGTTTGATAGTTAGATGAAGTCTTATGATCTAATTAGACAAATTGACGCGTTTTCGTTTCATGTTGATATATGCATCTTAGTTTAGATTCAAAGATAACTTGATTCTAGTTTTTTTTGTATTTATTTTTTATTTCTCTGCTAATTAGTTTTTGTTTGATCGTTAGATGAGAAGTGTTATGATTTAATTAGACAATTTTTTGTGCATTCGTTTCATGTTGATGCATGCATCTTAGTTCAAATTCAATCTGCTTTCGCACCTTTGTTTGATCTTTTTTTTATTATTATTATTATTATTATTATTATTATTATTATTATTATTATTATTATTATTATAGCTTTTCCGGAAACCTCAGTGACTTTCAATGTGAAATTGCAATGCCTGTATGTACGCTGCATTTTGATAAATTAAGGTCTGTCATCAACCTCCATGACTCTGTCGATTTCGTGTAATTATAATATATAATTTTTTGTTATTTAAGGTGTTTAAATTCATTTAATTTGATTATCTTTCATTTATTTCTTTAGCACACTCTGATGAGAGGTTAGCAGTGAAGTGGAAGCTGTGGTAGATGCAAAGCTGAGGCAACTAGCTAAGGTATTGGCTTAAATAATACAGTTTACCACATTTACAGTATAATTAACTTGTTTTCACTTGTTTGCATATTTAATGATGCGAACTTCTACAGTAGTGTTTGTTAGTTTATTTTTCTATCTCGAAACTCTATTAGACTTTTTGTGAACCTTGTTTGCTCTTTGGCAAGTTCATCACACTGCTACTCATTTGCTACAAGCTGCACTTAAAAAAGTAATAGGCCAGGACACATCACAAGCCGGTTCATTGCTGGCTTTTGATCGTCTTAGATTTGATTTCAACTTCCACCGGCCACTTTTGGATAATGAGCTCATGGAGATTGAAGGACTGATCAATAGCTAGATTGAGGACTCTACACTTCTGCAAACTAAAGTGATGCCTCTAACTGATGCTAAAAAAGCTGGGGCTATTGCAATGTTCGGAGAAAAATATGGAGAATAGGTTCAAGTTTCTATAAAATCATTTCTTTTGTACTTCTGAGTTCTGACAGAAAATTGTGTTAAAATATACGCTCATTTCACAACACATAAATGCTGTAACTTATGGAACATACTTTTACATAGGATTTGATTTTTCCTTCAAATACTGTCATTATTTTAGGTATGTGTTGTAGAGGTTCCAGGTGTATCCATGGAACTATGTGGTGGCACTCATGTCAACAGTACTTCTGAAATACGTGGCTTGAAAATAAACTCAGAACAGGGGATTGCGTCTGGAATCAGACGTATAGAAGCCATTGCTGGTGATGCTTTTATTGAATGCTAGAGATAACTACATGAAACAGCTCTGCTCCACTCTCAAAGTATGTTTTCTTCTGTAATCTTTTTGCTAAATAAAGAACACCTGATTGTTTCCAATGTTTTCATTATTAAAATTCATTCTGCAAAGGTGAAAGCTGAAGATGTACCAGCCAGGGTAAAAACACTATAAGGGTCAGAATTTCATTTCAGTACATTATTTTAGTTAGCTTGGAAATAGAAACATGAGGAAAGCATAAAAAATGTTTGTAAACAAAAACCAAAACCTACCTTAATGGATAATTGAACATGGCTACACTACAAGGTTTACGAATTGTGCGCACACACACACACACGCACACATATGTATATATAAAAGAAGAAGAATAAACAGACAACAAGAGGGTGATGTGCACAGTCTTATGCGTAATTGTTCACGATCTAAAACTAAAGCAGATGAGAGAGGTTGAAATACTGTGATTATTTTTGTCTCAGGACATTTACTATTTTTATTGATTACAATTTTTCTTCATCATCTAACGTGTGGCATTAAAGACATTTCCTGAGTTCCAATCTTGTAGCATATAACACTTCATATGCTCATTTGTACTTCTTCTTGCTTCAGTGACTCATGCAGCCACACAGCTCTTGATTAAGGAATAGTGGTTCTGATTGAGAATGGGAATGGTGGTGTGCTGAAAATGGGAATCTTATTTTTTGGGGGCTATTTTGGGATCCCATGGATTCTGTGATACAACATTTGGTCTTTGAAAATGTAGTTTTGCCTGGAAACGATATGGATTAAATTAAATCATAAGATGCAACTCCCTGTGGATAAGGTTTCATCAACCATCTCTTGTTTCTTTCCTTAGTTACTTTTCATATCTTTTTCTGCATATTTTGCAACCTGGGTTTCTTTTTCTTCTATTTATTTATTTATTTTTACATATATACTTAATGTTTGTAGTGATTATAACATAGAATTCAAACACTAATCTAAATTTGTGTGCTCTATATTTGTATTCAGGTCATCTGCTCATTGTGTCACACGGAACAAGATGTAAGTCTCCTCGCTGAAAAGCTTACATAATGATAAAAGTAAAAGCACTAGAATTATTATTTTTTTCTAGTAACAAGGTAGAAAGCGAGCAATGCTTTTCCCATATGGGCTACATTTATCAAAAGGCCAAGAAAATTGTGGGAATAAAGTAAAATTCATGCAATGGGTTTTAAGCTTTCTACCTTCTCGTTTCAGGTTCAACAAAACTGCATCCAATGTGGGGTTTGCATGGGGAAGTATTATTGCTCAAAATGCAAATTTTTTGACGATGATGTAAGCCTCTTTGTTAGAATTTGTTCAAAAAAAAAAAAATTCAAGCCTAGTTATTATATACTTGCTTAAACAACACGATTTCTATCTCTAGGTTTTGAAGAATCAATACCATTGTGATAAATGTGGAATCTGCAGGTTAAAATCTTTATCATGTTATTCCATTTTCTTTTCATTTCTGTTACAGTTCATATTTTTTCTGCACCCCCTTCTTTCTTCTGGTTTCTTTCTTTTCTAACTTCCCTTATAATGCATTTTAGTTATTTTTTATTTTCCTTCATAATGAATTCAATTTATATATATATATATATTTTTAATTTGGATACACCATCTTAAAGTACTTTAAATAGTTACTTTCTTAATGAATTCCATTTTATCTAATTAATTTTTGTTATGTTTTCAAATCTCAGAACTGGAGGCAAGGAGAACTTTTTCCATTGTAATAAATGTGGTAAGCACCTATATGAATTTTTGAGTACCCTTTTCTTTTCTGTTGTTCATGGTTGTTTTATCATTCTTTCTGTTGGGAAAAATAACAAAAAAACTACAAAAAAATTGGTCATGAAGTGATGGCTTTGGGAAATTTGTTCTTTCTACTTCAGGTTGTTCGCTACTCAAGGTTGATGAAGGATTCGTATATCTGCATAGAAAAAGCAATGCACCATAATTGCCCTGTTTGTTTTGAGGTAAACTTAAAAACAACTTAAAAGGTAAGAATAGATCTGCAAACTGTTTGTTCATGCTAAGTTGATCCATTTCTTTATGCAGTATCTTTTTGAGACAACAAAAGACATCACAGTCTTGCCTTGTGGGCACACTATACACTTGCAATGCGTGAAGGAGATGGAACAGCATTTACAGTAAGTAAATGAGAAAATAGAGCAACTATATTATTTTTCTTATTTAAATAAACTCATATTTCTCTGCAAATACCTTTCATATTAACTCAAGTTTGTAGGTATTCATGCCCCATTTGTTCAAAATCATATTGCGACATGTCTCAAGTGTGGCAAAGGCTTGATCACGAGGCATACCAATGATATCATGCTATACTTACCTTAATTGTATTTATTTGCAATATGGGTTTGTATCCCGGCTGACCTGTTCAACAAAAAAAATTCAGGTTGCTTCGACACCCATGCCTCAATTGTACAAAAATAAGATGGTAAAGATGTCATATTATAGCTAATCTGCAACTCTGCGTATCTCTGACTTTGTCATTCCACGTATTAACAATTTGGTGTCGCGATTGATTAGGTTTGGATCCTCTGCAATGACTGTGGAGAGACATCTACGGTAAATTTTCACATTGTGGCACATTCAAGACATGAGGGAAGGGCAGGCATGTTGTTCATTGATTATTATTTACTGATTCAATTGTAGTTTTCTTTTGTTTGCAAATATTCAGAGGCCAGTTTCATTTGAGACATGAAGGAAGGGCAAGCATGTTGTTCTTTGATTATTTACTGATTCTTAGTTTCACTTGCTGATCTATCTATTTTGCCTCTTGATTTCAATCTAATATCAAAAAAGTTATTAAAAATTGGACTAAATTGATACAATGTCAAAATTTCAAAAATAAAATTGATACAATTAGAACTATATGCATCAAATTGACATAAAATACAAACCAGGGGTAAGTGATTTGACTTTTATTGTTTCTATGAAATGAGACTACTAGGTTTGGTTGGGGATGTATTATTGGCAACAGCTGCAGAATGTTTTTATATTACATATTTCATGTTCTGTCATCATTCTTCAAGAAATCTATGAGTGTTGTGCTACTTATGACCTGTCAAAACAAGATGAGCTGGGAAGTTCTAATTCATATAAAATTTATTAATTTATTATTATTAATTCATTAGCATTTTAGATGGAAAAAATATGTTATCATGTCTCTTATTAGAAGAGAGGTGGGACTTAGTGGTTTTGTTCTGTGCATCATTGCTGATCTGTTTTGTTATGCTCTTGGATTACAAAATGGAGTGAGGCAGTGCTGAGAGAGTCTGGTTTTGATGTTCTGCTGCACTACTGGTCCGGTATTGTATTAGGATTGGGAGTTCATTTTGCAGCAGTTTTCTATGCTGAGTTGGATAAAGATGCACTTCTTAATCATATATTTTTTTTCCTTGGTTCATGAAAAGAAGAAAAAGAAAGTATCCTGTCTACCTATTTGTTCCATTACATGCTTCAAGTTTGCTAATTCTATCTAGTTGCATTGACAGTTAAGCTTGTTATGGATGAAACGGTGAAGAGGTCAAAAGGGTATGCTTTTATTCAGTACACTAGTCAAGACGATGCCCTGCTAGCTCTAGAAAGCATGGATCATAAGGTAATAGGCGTATATTTGGTTGACATATTTCCAGAAGAATTCTTACTTTATCATCATATAATAAAATACTAATTTATGGTCTTGCTTCTGTAGACTAACACCTTGTTTTCAAATAAAATTTGCTTATTGATGGTTAGGGACGGCTTAAAAATGGAAATATTGCTGCTATAAGGTTCTTTCACCTGAATCAAGTCAAGAAGTAAAGGAGTTCTTGACAGAGATTAGAGTGATTTCAGATATAGAGCACCAAAATTTAGTCAAGCTCTATGGCTGTTGCATGGATGAAGATCATAGAATTCTGTTCTACAACTACCTTGAGAATAATAGCCTTGCGCAAACACTTATTGGTAATTCCATCTATCCGTTCTTAGTTTGGTAGTCTTTACACTTATTGGATTGGTAATTTAGTCCCCTGTTACAAGCCTTTTTTTTCTTTATCAACAAAAATAGTTTATTGATGTAAATTAATTGAGTACTACTTAGTATGTCAAACATACATCAATAAAAATAAAAAATAACGAAGGCGTAGGAGAAATGCATGAATGTTTAAGAACATGTGTCAAGTAGATTAGCACATGATCTCAACCAATCAAATGTAAGACCTAGGCTCAAAAAAAAAAAAATAGTAATTGGCAAGGCACTAACTACCAGAACTAGTAGGTTCCCTGTGGGGGTTGTCAAACAAATACAATAAATTGTTGTGTGCAATACTTTTCAGAAGAAAAAAAAAAGTGTGCAAGCCAGGATTCGATATTAGGGGTTTATAGTGTGAAATAGTTAAGATGAGTGTAATAGTAGTGGAAACGAGATTTTGAACTTTGGGTAGCAACTGGGAAATAATATTAAAAAAAACATTAGGTACCACATGAGTGCTGCTAGGCCTGGTGTGGTTGTCCTTGTGAAATCTTAAAATCATGGCTGGAGGCATGTCCTTGAATTGTAATGGATTTTAATCAAATCCCTGTTGGGTTACTTTAACTTCAGCCCTAGAGTTTTTCAGTTACTTTGTAAATGTGATATATCTTGGTACATATCGATGCAGTGGGTTGCTATCGGTTGCCAATTCATAATGCATTTGTGATATAGGTTAGGTATGTGCACTTTTTGAAATTGGGAAATTATGCTTACATGAACAATCAACTAATTTTATTGTCTACTTTCTGGGAATAGTTTTAATATGGACTAATATATGAGTTTGTTTGTTTAAAGATTTAGATTTTTTGGGATATCCTTTTTTGTTTTCCTTTGCTAAGTGTTTTCAGAGAGTGTTGTGCAGGGTTTTTGCAAGTTTGGGATCAAACAACACCGGAATATAAGAGAGGGCAAAAAAGCTAATTGGGCTTTGTTTTAAAGTTGTCATTAATCAATAGAGGCTGCTACCAGATCCTTTTTTTTGCTGGTGGCTGATGCTGCTGCTTGTTGGTCTGCTGCTGCTACTGCCCTGGTGGTTGAGGCTTGCTGGGCCGCCACTGCTGCAATGTTGCTGTGACGCGGTTGCTACTAGATTCTGGTCTGCTGCATAAGTTTGTGGGTGATTTGTCATGCCGTTTTGCCTATCTTTGTTAGTTTCATGTTTTCATTTTGTTATCTGATGTTTCTAGTGTGGGTTCACAATTTGGATGTATTTGGGTATTTTAGTGAGTTTACTCTTTTAAGTTTTATACACTGCTTCTAAAAGCAGTCTCAGTAGTGTTTTTTTGCCTGCACATCAATTTTAGATGATTTCCTATCAATGTTATTAGTTTGTAATTGTGGTGCTTGAGGGATGCCTATTGTAAATCTGTAAAACTTATAAAAATATATAAATTATTTTCAATTATTTTTGTCGGTAAATGTGTTGTCAAAAATTTATTTTTGCCCACTCATATTGTGTTGCTAGAAGTGTATTTTTTGCCAATGTCAATTTGTCGTTGCCAAAAGTAAAGCTTTATCGACAAACAAATCGTCGACAAATGGCAATATTTACCGATGTAAATGTGTTGTCAAAAGTTTACTTTTGCCCACTCATATTGTGTAGCTAAAAGTGTATTTTTTGCCAATGCTAATTTGTTGTTGCCAAAAGTGAAGTTTTATCGACAAACAAATCGTAGGCAAATGACAAAATTTATCGACGTAAAGGTGTCACCAAAAGTTTACTTTTGCTGACACATATTTTGTTGCTAAAAGTATAGTTTTTGCCCATGCAAATTTGTGTCGCGAAAAGTGCCACCCAATCATCATATTTGAATGACTTTTACCGATGCAAGGTAAATTGCCGACGATGGATGAATGCTTTTATCGACGTCTATGTTCGTCGCTAAAGGCAATACTTTTACCAACGCAATGATAATTTCGTCAGCAAAAACTTTTTCCGACTCACTTTTGCCTACGGGTTGCCAACGTAGCTTTGTGTGTCAGCAAAACTCTTTGCCGACGAATTTTCCCTTTTAGCAACATATTTTGTTGTGTTGCGAAAAATGCAATTTCTTGTAGTGCAAGTTATATGCCCAGCATGGGTATTTCCTTAATGAAACGGTATGAATTTTTTTTTATTTATTTATGATTTTTATGTTTTTTTTTTGATTTTTTTTGTAGTTCACCTGCACTAGACAATCTACACAAAATGAAAAATTAATAGAAACAAAAGCTAAAAGAAATTTCTAAAAAAAAAAAAAAAACTTACCAGAAGTCCCCGTCAACGATGCCAAAATTTGATGTTGCCGTTTGCTTACCAAAATAAAATGAATAAAATCGATAGCAACTACTATTATGAGGTATAGTGGTTGAGAATAGCTGTCGAATCACAGAGACTAGGGCAATCTATGTTTAGTTCAAAGATTTCGATTTTTAAAATGAAAAGTAAGAAAAAGAAAACCTTAGGGTTTAGAATCCACTACTAACCTTGTAATAGGGGGTCATTGTATTTAGATTGTAGAATATCATTAAAAAGGGTACTACGATATGTTTTGGTTAGGACACATCACTTAAAAAGATTTTGTGTTTTAAAATCAAAAAGTCACAAATCATCTTGCTTAGTATGGACCGTCACCACTAAACTAAACTAAGCTAAAGTTGATACATGGCCCGTCTCACTGGGTATGACTCGTCTAACAATTTCAATATACAAGTGGTGAAAACAATTGTATAGCATGTATTCATGACTAGTGAACACATAATTTGATAAAACATTATTTGCACAAAAATCTGAGTTATACAACAGAACCCAAATCAATTAAAAATCTACAAAATTAAATACGAACTACCACAATCACATGATCAGAGTTTCATTTTAACCCTAAGATATGAAAATAAGTTCGACACACTAATATTACAAGCACTATAAAATATATAAACTCTAAACCTACCTTCCCACTCTCCCTTTCTTTCTTTCTTTCTTTCTTTCTTTCTTTATTTTATTTTATTTTATTTTTTTCTTTTTTTTCTTCAGAGCTTCGGCTGAAGCTTACTGAGTCCCCTTGCTTTGTTGATCTCTCCCTCAATTTATAGCCAAAAGCCCCTGCAAACAAACAAATAAGATGATATATAGATATATATATATATATTAAATATTAATTAAGTAAATGCGCATGGGTGGCATGGGTGCACAGTCAAATACTGTGCACCTTTTTAATATAATAATATTAAAAATGTATTATTTATATTAATTTTTGTACAAACACTCAAAATATATAAAATACACAAAAATTTGTAAAATTATAAAATAGTAAAAATAAATGGACTAACAAAATGTATTTCAGGGGGCTAAAAATGTAACATTTAGGCTCTAA